GAGCAGTTAACCACATTGCACAATGATGCTGGCTTTCGTTGGGCCGACGTTGCGGGAATTCTAGGTGTTTCAGAAAGGACAACACCAAGTTCAGGACAACGTTTAGTGGAAGGCGGGTTGAGAAACAGGGGCTTACGTATTCAACGGAGGCGCATACAGGAATCTATGAGAAGAGTAGATCCAGTGATCAGCACATTACGGTCTGCAAGGAATATTATCCGAAGGGTTTATAATGTGCCACCACCAAATGCTCTATGGTAGGTACCCTGTACATCAAATTATAGAATTTAACCAGATAATGCACTTGTCACCAGCAATCTATTGGTAATATATTTTACAGTAATTGACTTTTTTTGGGGGGGGGGAGTGTGCTTCCAGACCCCTATAATTTTGTCCAGACCCCTATAATTTCATCTAGATCCCATCCTGGAAACCAATTTCAAGTTATGCTGGCATCTATGCCTACTTTACTGTATCTACCACAGTTTCGGAATTTTACTTTTTCGTTATTGTAGGCACCTTGATCGAAATCACAAGTTGATACAACCGTACAGGTTTGTAATACATGGATGTATAGATGGCTACTCCCGAAAGGTTGTATTTTTGCAGGCATCAACCAACAATGAGGCAGCAACTGTTCTTAGTCACTTTCAGAATGCTGTTCAGCAATACAACTTACCTTCAAGGGTTCGTAGTGATTTGGGATTTGAAAATATAGAAGTGGCTCGACTAATGTTGCAAGAAAGAGGTATAAACAGGGGGAGCCACATAACTGGAAAATCTGTCCACAATCAACGGATAGAACGACTGTGGCGAGATGTGAATCGCATCATTTGCGCCGCTTTTTAAATATTTTCCTGTTCGTTGAACAGAGAGAACTGTTGGATCCATCTAACGAGATACATTTGTATTGTCTGCATGTTGTTTATCTCAAATTAATTAATGAAGCAATAGAAGAGTTTATAGGTCAATGGAACAATCATCCAGTATCAACAGAATGTAACTTTTCCCCCAATCAGTTGCGGGTGCGAGGGATGATAAGTTTAAGAAATTCTGGGTATTCTGCTGTCTCTACTGTAGTACAAGGTGAAGCAATAGATTTAGAACAGTATGGCATTGACGAGGAGGGACCCTTGACAGATATAGAGGAAGATTATGGTGTAATTGTTCCAGAAGCAATTGTTCCATTTAGTGATGAAAAGTAAGACATCTGTGTGAGGTACGCGATTATTTTCAACAATTTTGTGAAGATAAGAATGGAATCTTAACTTATGAAGTAGTTCTGGAAATGGCACAAGCATTTGCAAATATGGTTTTAGCGGTTGCCTAATATTCATCTAATGTTAAATATGCATTTACAAAATAATATGGTAAAAAATGTACAATAATATGTAATGTAAAATAACATGGTCAAAAATGTGTTTTCTAGTGCATTCTACTTCTAGTGAAACAAAATGGCACTTTTGTATTGTAAAAGGTGTCAACATTAACAAATCCCATAAACCTGAACAAAAACTAAAATAGATACAACTCCTAGAGCTTACTCGCATGAAGTTCGCACAATACTGTTATAATAACCTAACCCTTAACAAAATAGTTTTCAAAACTGTACATCGCTGTTTATATTTTTCCAAAACCATATTTTGCGTATTCGATCGCTTTGTCCATTGCATTTCTGAACGCGGGATATTGCTCATGGATGGTAGGTAAAAATAACACCCTAGGACATGTGTCTGCTTCTGGAAAAACCTTGTTCGCATCCTTTTGCAACAATCTCACCACAATTTTAGCGGATGTAACAGTGGGTAGAGATGAAAAGCCTGTCCAGAAGAGCACAAGATCACTTAACTTTTCTTGTTTGCTACGATCTGCAGAAAACAAATATTTTGAAATCTTATTAAATAAATATAACCAGGAAATAAAATACCTATCATCTACAGAACTAGTACTAGGGTTTTATAAAAGATAGTTATCTTAAATGTGGGTTAATCCATTGTTAGAACTAATATGCCTTACCGTTTATTCACTTTTCACCCAAATGGCCTCGTTTTCGTGTCAAATATTTATTCATGTTTTGTGCTTAGTAGGGTTGAAAATTACTTTGTTATTGAGCCTAAGAACAGCAAAAAACAGATTCGTCCAGGAAAACATGGGAATATAATTTTTATCTGCCCCTGAGATGCTAAAATAAGTTAACACGGAAACGAGGCCATTGGCTAAAAGAGAATAATCGGCAAGGTCTATTGGCTTGTGAGTTGTGAAGGGGCTGTTTAAATGACGCCACTTTGCCGTGACGAGATTCGAGACCAGATGATTTTGATGTTTTGAAAGAAGTCATGGTGAACGACTCAATAAAACTACATTCTTTTTCTGGTGATAGATCATAGTATGCAAATTGTAAACAAAAAGTTTTTTAAACAGCGATAGTGATCTTCTTATTAATTAAGGTTACAATATATGATGAGACTCTGATTTGGCCCAAAATGTTTTTTATATATTATTATATTAAGAAATGATATATCTCTCAATCTCAGCAACTTTTTTAAGAAAATGTTAAAAAGCGACCGAGAGGGGAAAATGCTATGACCGCTGAATAGCTTCGCGCGAAACTTGTAATTATGATTGAAACTTGAAATTGTCAGACCTCTTGCGGTTAAATACAATTAGTAAGGAGACGTCTCACCAAAACGCAAACGCAGTAGAAAAGTCACCGAAGCTAACATCGCGCATAGCTTGAACTTCGAGAGACTCTGTAAATACTATATTATAAGCTTTCTAATGTTGTCGCAATGACATATACCTCAGAAAGCCGAACAATAACTTATACTTTAGTGAATTTCACACCTTGGTATTTGACGCCAGCAAAGTTCAAACTTTGTGGTTTGGCCACAAGTGGATTAACATTGGGGCCGTTAAATCTCGTGGCGCAAGAGGTGATATTTTTCAAAAGATATGTCTCATGCGACTACAGGTTAAAAGGTGGTGAATTTTGGTTAAAACAGTTACTGTAGCTTCTACAGTTAGGTATCATTGCATGTACCAAATTTGAGGAACGTAACTAAAAAATTGAGCACGCAGTGGCAATTTTTCTGAAACAGGAGGAATCTATCATATGATGTGACCTTAAACTATAACATCTTCTCGAGAAGATTTGAGTTCTTTTAACCGGCGTGTGAACTTTCGTTTATAAGCCTAGTGATTTATTTCAATAAATCTTAATCATCACGCAACCCGTCCGGCCAACCGGGAACATGTAAACGACCACTAAAATTATATAGTGAAAACAACTACGTCGCATGTACTCCATTAAAATTAAGCAGATTCACAACTCACCATCTCTCTCGTTTAACTCGATCAAATATTTTTCAAAAAAATCTTGCATCTCATTAGCCAGTGCATCATTACCAATTTCGTATTGAACATAAGGAGACAATTCAGGAAGACTGATTGATTCTTGGATGTTAGCAGGAAACAAACTGTCTTTCAGAATGGGCCACTTCACCAGCAGGTCATTTATCGTGTTTCCCCAAACTTTCAAGCTTTGCAACCCTTTCCTCATGTCATCTAATGCCGATACTCTTTTTGTTATCACTTCATACTGTAAACAGCATTCAAAGGCCAACTGCCGTCTTTCTGGCGAAATTGTTATGTGCAGATAACCGGCAGATACCAAAAGATCGCTTATGTCAGAGGAACTGTCTGGCAAGGTAAATTCTCTGAGCTGGTCATCTGAACAATTTACAAGCTGTTCAAAATAATTTCCAGATTAAAAATCATTTGTCGTTGTATTGTATTGTCGTTGTATTGTCGTTGTATTGTATTGTCGTTGTATTGTCGTTGTATTGTCGTTGTCGTTGTATTGTCGTTGTATTGTCGTTGTCGTTGTATTGTCGTTGTATTGTCGTTGTCGTTGTATTGTCGTTGTATTGTCGTTGTCGTTGTATTGTCGTTGTATTGTCGTTGTCGTTGTCGTTGTATCGTCGTTGTATCGTCGTTGTATCGTCGTTGTATAATAATAATAATAATAATAATAGTCTTTAGTAAAATACTCAGATACATCCGTCTGAGTTTACAATCGAAAGGTAATTGATCTAGTTATATTTACAATTGTAAGTTAAGAAGCGTAAAAAGTTTTAAAAAGTTTTAAATAGATTAAAGTCTAAATAGATTAAAGTCTAAACAAAGTTATACAGACAACGATTTATGAACGACCTTTTGAATCGATTGTCGTTGTTGTTGTCGTTGTCGTTGTATCGT